AAAAAAACAACAAAAAAAAAAACACAAACAAAAAAAACACAAAACAGGGGCAAACAAGAACCCCGGCGCACCTAGCCACTGATAACTCATGAGACGCCCCAGCAGGCCTGACAAACGCACCTAATAGTCAGAAGTAAACAAGAATAAAAATAACAGCAGACCAACACTCTCTCTCAGCCTCGACACGAATAAACAGCTCAGGTGGTGACAAGAAGGAGCCATTATACTTGACCAGTGAGCCATAATGAAGGGCTTCCTATTGGTGCCTTCCTGTTTCTCACCATAAATTAGCCGGGTAGAGGAACTCGTGGTAATCTTGTGTCAAGCTACAGAAAACCTTGACACTATTTGGTATATTATTGCGGCGTTGTCATATTGTGTCATAAAATGGAGGTATTGTGTCATTTTCTGTCATCTGGCGTTAAGATATTTTCAGACATATCATACCATATTTATGTGGCTGTGTGTTATATTCTGTCATATCATAGTGGCGTTGTGTTATATCACTGTGGCTTAACCTAACCTAACCTAATCTTACGTCCGAGATGCGTGGCGCATCTCGGACGTAAGATTAGGATAAGATTAAGTTTCTTTCACTTCTCGTCGTCTTTTTTTTTGGGGGGAGGGGGTGTGGAGGGGGATCTATTAGATAAATTTTTAGTGTCTTGGCCTAGTGATCATGTCTCTTCAACTTCAATATGGTTGGCGTGACTGTGTGTGTGTGAGGCGTGGAGGTCCCGCTGCGGCCGCCAAACGTCGTCTGGTCATTACGAGTAGTTAAATTGACCACCACCACTACCGGGTCTCTCCACCTTCAGTTTCCCTGAAGGTAAACACTAATTTTCCTAGTTATGAAGAAGGGTGTCTTAAGTGATGGTGTCCAGACAGTGGAGTTTTTTTCCTGGGATGGTGTTGTGCTCTCGTCCGCGGTGTTGTTTTACACACACACACACACACACACACACCCACACTTCCCTGTTTATGGCTACATGATAACTTTTTTCCTGTGTTTGTGTTCAGTCTAAACGTGTTGTCATTGAGGTAGTGAAATATGTCGCTGTTACATACCACACACGTGTCCTGTACTTCATGTATACAGTTTACATCGTTATAAAGACATTATTGTTGTATTCATCGTGTGGTTGGTGTTGTCCAAGAGTGAGAACTTGTGTACATTATCGGAACTTTCCTTCTCGTTAAGGCTACAATAAGAACATAAGAATGGTGGAAACTACAGCGGGCCTATTGGCCCATACTGGGCAGTCCCGTTTACACCCAACCCCTATTGCTCATATAAGCATCCAACCTATGTTTGAAGCTATCCAGCTTATTCGAGTTAATGATGATATTTGGTAACTTGTACATTCATCCACTACTCTGTTTCCAAACCAGTGTTTACCTATTTCACGCCTAAATCTAAATTTGTCTAATTTAATATCATTGTTACGAGTTCGCTCCTGGTTGGATAGTTTGAGTACCTTTGTAATGTCCCCTTTGTTTAGCCCTGACTTCCATTTATACACCTCTATCAGGTCGCCCCTCGCTCTACGTCTCTCGAGGGAGTGCAAATTAAGATGCCCTTAACCTGTCTCAAGGTTCCTAATGCCCGGGATTAGTCTTGTCATTCTCCTCTGAATTCTTTCCAAGGATTCTATATCCATTCTGTAATACGGTGACCAGAACTGAACTGCGTAATCCAGGTGTGTTCTCACAAGAGCAAGATACAGTTTTAGGATGACCTCGCTAGTCTTGTCACTAACACTCCTTTGTATGAATCCAAGTACTTTATTAGCCTTGTTACGAGCAAAAACACATTGTTTACTTGGCTTAAGGTTCCTACTTATCATTACTCCTAAATCTCTCTCGCAGTCGGATTTCTCAATGGCATCGTTGTTCATCTGGTAACTGGTTTCCCTGTTTGCATCTCCTATACTGAGTATTTTACATTTGTCCGTGTTGAATTTCATCTGCCATTTTTCAGACCATTCGAAAAAATTTTTTAGATCTTCCTGTAGTTTTGCGGAGTCCTCGTCAGATTTAATAACACGTCCTATTTTAGTGTCATCAGCAAATTTACTTATGTTGCTGTCTATGCCGATATTTATGTCGTTTATGTATATAATAAATAATAATGTTCCAAGAACTAAGCCTTGGGGAACTCCACTAGTGACGTTGCTCCAATGGGATTTTGTGCTGTTACTGCTCACTCGCTGTTTCCTGTCCTGTAACCACGCCCTAATCCATTTAAGGATATTACCTTTGATGCCATGTGCTTCTACCTTTCTAATTAGTCTTTCGTGGGGGACTCTGTTAAAGGCTTTGCTAAAGTCGAGATATACCACAAACAAAAATAACAAGCACCTTGAACAACACAAAGGACGCCCACACACCTCACTAGAGGAAAGGTCACGGCAGCTTAGCTCCGCTCCCGGGGATAATTATCAGATATGGCTAGTGCTACTTGTAAACAGGGTTACGCCCTTCTGTGGGCCGAATTAGAGAGTACCAAGGAAAAAAACCCTGAAATTAGAGGAAGAAAACTTGAAATTAAAGGAAGAGATAGCAAGGATGAAGGAAGAAACGAGACAAGGAAAGCCTGTGAATGGCGAAAACTCAGGCGAATGGAAGGTTGTGAGGAGAGGGACTACCAAACTGGTGGTGAAGAAACACACCAAGGATACAACAGCGACAACAACAGCTAAGTGTACCAACTCGTTCAGGTCAGGTACTTGGACAGAGCTTTTTGTGGTAAAAATAAAGATAGTATGAGGGTGTGTTTGCCAGGGGCTGGGGTGGGGGATATAGTTGACAGGATGGACAATATCTTGTCTGGTAATGGGAACAAACCCATTATCTGCCTCAGTGCAGGAGGCAATGATATTGGCCGGTGTAGGAGTGAAGAGCTTCTTGATAAGCTCAAGACAGCTATAGATCGTATTAGGACTAAGGGAGGGATCCCTGCCTAGAAGGAGAGTTAGCAATGAATGGTTGTCAAGGGCAGTTAGACTTGCTGGCGCCTTCCTCCTTGTGCGTCGCCTAGAGTTCCTAGAATGTTCCTCCTTCCATGTTCCTTCCCTACGTTCCTCCTTCCCTCTGTTTCTTCCCACGTTCCTTCTCTATACGTTCCTCCTCTCTGTTCCTTCCCATGTTCCTTTCCTACGTTCTTCCTTCCCTATGTTTCTTCTGCTGTTCCTTCTCCCACGTTTCTCCTTCTCTCTGTTTCTTTTCATGTTCCTTCCCTACGTTCCTGCTTCCCTCTGTTTCTCCTTCTGTTTCTCCTCCCACGTTCCTCCTCCTCTCTGTTTCTTCCCAAATTCCCTCTCAACGTTCCTCCTCCCCTATGTTCCTTCTCCCACATTCCTTCCTTATTTTCCTCCTTCTCGCATTGCCTTATGTTATAGCTTTTTTACATCTTAAGGACGCATTACTGACTGTCATTTGTTTCTCGTATTTTGGTGACGTAATATTTTACAAGTGCTTGCATCGCAGAAACCCAGGTAAATACCGTAATAACAGAAGAAAAGTGACGAAAAGATGTGAAAAACGAGATGATAAACTAGACAAAGAACGGAAAAGAATGTAAAGTTGTACTGGGAGAGGGGACACACACACACACACACCAGCTATTGCATCATCAAGCACAGTTCGGTGATGATTTAAACAAACGTAGCCAAATAAAAACTGTGTTCAGTGCGTCTCGCTAAGTCATTCCCTGATATATTAAACGATCGTCGATATTCAATCAAAATAGGGCTATTACATCTAGCACGGTCGTTGAGAATCTGATATATTGTCAGTTTTTTTTTTATCAAAGCCTCTTGTTGTAATATGAAGAATTTGCAAACCACTTGAGTACGATGACTTCTTAATCTATTGAGTGCGATGACGACACCTTGAGTGCGATGTTACTTTACTCAGTGGATTGTGATATGTTACTTTAGGGATTAAGTCATCGTAATGAAGGGCTTATGTCATCGTACTCAAGGTAGTTAATGTTAGTTATTGACCTATTGCGTAGTTTTAAATTCCCTCCCGCCAAAAAGATGTTAATTGTAAAGATCCACAAATCCGGAAACAGAATCGAACCCGAATTAGCCTTCCGAAAGCCGAGAATTTAATGTTTTGGTTAGGGTTGTTTAGGGGCAGAAGGCCAGGTTAGGAGTAGGATAGGGGTAGGTCTGGTTTGGGGTAGGTTAGGTTAGGATAGGTTAGGGCTAGGTCTAGTTAGGAGTAGGTTAGGAATAAGTCTACTTAGAGGTAGATTAAGTTAGGGCTAGGTCTGATTAGGGAGTTGATTAGATATAAAATTTATGATTCAGGTCGTTAGATTGGCGAGTATACCACTATCAATATTAAGTTACTAGAACCCTCTAACCCGTCATTAAGTTTACAGTAACTATTATTTTCTTCAAATTTCCCCTAAAATAAACAATAAACTAGACCTAACTTGGGGGAGGGGGGTGGAGGGGTCAAAGATGTAATTGAAACTTCTCATAAGAACACACAACCTATTTTAAATTTAATATAGAACTAAAACTAACTGAGACGTCTAGTGTGACCTTCCTTATATTGGTACATTTAACTCGTTATATTTGTTTAGAACTTAACAAGCTAACGTATTATTACTGCGGTTTACCTTGGTGAAGTGAAACCAACTTGCCATATCAATTGTCATGGCCATTTGCACTTATGTATTGTTTGAGGGAGGAAAACGACCTCGATTATTACATGTATTGAATCACTAAATTGATATTCTCTCTCTCTCTCTCTCTGATTATCCTTCATACGTCAGATCTTGTAAAACTTCAAGCCTGTGTTTTGAATAGGAGACGGAGGGAGAGGTGAGACAGGGAATGATACGTAAACAAAGACGCAAATACCTGCATATACAGTGTCTCATCACCCAAGCGAACCTCGACCCATTTGACGTTTTACAAGACTTACTTTCGCGGCGTCTTGTAAACCATCTCTCTGTTCCTACCTCCTCCTCTTCTTTCCAGGGTCCTGACGCCGTAGTGGAGATGGTACCTGGAAGTGACCAGGTTGGAGGTAGACTGGAACTCTTCAGGAATAATGCAGGAGTCATCATTCAGGGTGAGGCGACCTTTGTAAACATGGTAGGAGATAAGATTGGGGTGGTAGGTGATATTTTAGGGGTGGTAGGTGATATTTTAGGGATGGTAGGTGGTATTTTAGGGATGGTAGGTGATATTTTAGGGATGGTAGGTGATATTTTAGGGATGGTAGGTGATATTTTAGGGGTGGTAGGTGATATTTTAGGGATGGTAGGTAATATTTTAGGGGTGGTAGGTGATATTTTAGGGATGGTAGGTGATATTTTAGGGATGGTAGGCGATATTTTAGGGATGGTAGGTGATATTTTAGGGATGGTAGGTGATATTTTAGGGATGGTAGGCGATATTTTAGGGATGGTAGGTGATATTTTAGGGGTGTAGGTGATATTTTAGGGATGGTAGGCGATATTTTAGGGATGGTAGGTGATATTTTAGGGATGGTAGGTGATATTTTAGGGATGGTAGGCGATATTTTAGGGATGGTAGGTGATATTTTAGGGGTGGTAGGTGATATTTTAGGGATGGTGGTGATATTTGGGGTGGTAGGTGATATTTTAGGGGTGGTAGGTGATATTTTAGGGATGGTAGGTGATATTTTAGGGGTGGTAGGTGATATTTTAGGGATGGTAGGTGATATTTTAGGGATGGTAGGTGATATTTTAGGGATGGTAGGTGATATTTTAGGGATGGTAGGTGATATTTTAGGGGTGGTAGGTGATATTTTAGGGATGGTAGGTGATATTTTAGGGGTGGTAGGTGATATTTTAGGGATGGTAGGTGATATTTTAGGGATGGTAGGTGATATTTTAGGGATGGTAGGTGATTTTTTAGGGATGGTAGGTGATGTAAATGATTTATCTTGTTTAAGCTTATTCTTGTACCCTTATGGTCTTTATGTCGACAGGAATGGCCTCAGTTTGTTTACTTATTGAGCAACTCTCGTATGTCTAGATTTTACCTCCAGTTTATCGCCTCTTTTCCATAATTCCAATCCATTTCTTTTTTTTCGCTTATTTCGTCTTTGTCTTATTGTGGTTTTTAATTTTAGACTCTTTTTCCGTGTTGTGGTATAGCTCCCTACCCTACATGCTAACCCACTACCCCCTTCTACAGGCAGTGTAACGGGCTTGACACCGGGTTACCATGGTTTCCACGTCCACGCGAAGGGCAGGCTTGGTGACTTTTGCAAGGACGCCGGCGGACACTTCAATCCCTTCGGTGTAAGTTCCCCTTCCCTTGTGACGTTGCAGCTGACCATTCTAGCGTAATGAAGTATTTGGTATCCATTGATGCTACGGTACCCTGGTATCTAACATTACTAAAGCCTTGGATATTAACTTGTACTACAGCTGCTATGTGTACAGTGCTCGTTTGTACTTAACACTGTGAAGTATCGAACGTACACATGTGCTGCATTACGTAATATCAAACGTTTTTATAATATAACATACACACTTGTTCAACACCATTTAACCTCATGTTCTTTATAGCATTTGGTAAGTACACAATAATGAGTGACCTATTTAGTGGCGTTACGAGTGGATCCTATACATCTATTAATTACAAGACTTGACTTTTAACATTACCAAAACATTATAAGAGTATTTATAGCACACTCCTTACACCTCAAACATCACACTGTATGTCTTCCTATGTTATGGTGTACAGAAACCTACCAAGATGACCCGCACCAATTACACACTTAAGTATATGCGACTCGCCCACTAAATTTAGTACCTTAAAGTCTTACACAAACAGTTTAAGATCCGAATGTAGAGGTCTGAAGTCTCCGTCCACAGTGAACATAAGTAATTTAAGTACTTGACCTGACATCTAAATGGGCCAAACACATTTCACTAACATTTTCTGCTCTAGTACGACGGCTGAGTGGGTGTAGCTGTTTCACACCCAGGGCTACCCTATTCCACCCAATTGTGAATGGGTACCCAATTTTACAGTTGGGGAAAGTAAAGGGGGTTGAGTACAGTATCGGCAACACTGTCTCCTTGTACTAGAAAGGCTAAGTAATCAGTGTTCTTTGTTCACACTATCGTAACCAAGTTTAACTTTACACCACATTAATTGTCCGAAACATCAACAAAGCAAATATTACACAGGTCAGATACACCATACATCGATTATTATTCAGTATTGCTACAGGAACAGGTGTAGTGATGGCCCTTATATGGCTAAATCTTATTAAAGAGAGAGTAAAAGTGAGTGAGTGTGTGTGTTCATCTGGAAATGACACAGGACGCCGCCACACGCTGCAGAGGTCCAGGAAGGAGACCTATATACAACCGCGACCTGCCCGTATTGGTCACACCATAAGTCATTAACAGTGAAGAGCATCGTGATGACTATATCTTGAACCAGAACCAAAATCTAGAAAAAAAATCACAACTTTGACATATTTTCTAGTTATTTTTTTTATTAGTTGTGGTATATAGCGTAATTTAAAAACAACTCCTCAGTTTTATTTACACACTTGTTCCCTGATGAAAAATCGTCAAGTGTGTCGCTCTGTTGAGTAAGTCTGTTTATGTTTCAACTGGCAAACACTTTGAGCTATTGCCCTGAAACTTACAACTACGTAAAGCATGTTTCCGTTCTTCCTGACACCGTTGTTTGTATCTTACAGAAGAACCACGGTGCCCCGGAAGACGTCGAGCGTCACGCTGGGGACCTGGGCAACGTGGAAGCTGACTCGTATGGCGTGGCGTACATCAACATTGCTGACTACCACATCTCCCTCGACCCTTCCTCCCAGACGTTCATCGGCGGTCTGGCCATCGTCATCCACGCCGGCGTCGACGACCTGGGACGTGGCGGTAACCCCGAGAGTCTCAAGACGGGCAACGCTGGTAAACGCTCCGGCTGTGGCATCATCCAGGTGGTGGGAGGATCCTCATCAGCCTACCTACCACCACAACCAATCCAAAGACCATTTCAACCAGTCCATAGACCACCACAACCAGTCCATAGAATACCACAACCAGTCCATACACCACCACAACCAGCCTTCCATTACCAACCACATCAACCAAACTACGGACGCTTCGAGCTTGAATTCCCGCCCAGATTCTCTCCCCCAAGGTCCTTCAACCCCTACTACCACTAACCTTCTTGACAATAATAACGATATGATATGGAAATGAAATATAAGTTTTTATCTCTCAATCTTTCTACTGTACTAACCACTAAATAATTTACTAGCACTAAAAATGTATACTGTTGCTCGTCTGTGTGTCTTATACCAGGACTCACCAATTTCTGGGCATGGTGCTAGACCCGGATTCGAAACAAGCCTGACTCAGCCTAACATACGGTAACCTAATTCCTTCCCTAACCAACAGTCTAAACAAACCTACCCTCATTTACCTGCCTTTTACTTCACCTAACTTAACCGTATCTACGGTTTTATGAAGAAAATCTGGGTCTGGTTCCGTACCTGGATTCGGGGATCAGTTTACCCTTGTTAAGTTAATGAAAAATTCCCAATGGAAATTATTATCTGGGGAATAACTTGTTGTTCGTTAACACAATGTAAAATATAATGCCAACGACTGTCAACCATGGTGCAATTCCCGCAAAGTTGAGATTTTATTTATTGTATAATCTAAAATAGAAAAAAATAACTATAAACGATATACGTTTTATTTCCTTCCTTCTCATCACCTGCTCATACCAGCCTCACCCCACTGTCACAACACACTTTAAAAACGCGACCACCATTACGTCCAAATCATTATGCTCGAAAAAAAGTAATTTTACCTGCCTCCTCACTCTTGTAATTCTACTTCTCCATCATTGTTGGATATTTTCTGGTGTGTGAATGTAATTACCGTATAGCTTGTATCTAAGCATTTGCAAAGACGCGTGTGTGAGTGTGTGTGCCTAGCAACTCTTCTGCCCTGGCTTAAGGTTGTTCCCACGACCTTGATATCCAAAACCTGTTCCCTAAACCACTATCTTACCTTTAATAGCTTTACACATCCACACTACATATGGAAAGCATATTCGTACACTTGTTCACATCATATCGAAAACGCTTGCCTTTACAAACCTAGTTGTCTCACCCATCAATACAAGAAATTAATTCATTAATTACTTGTTCCTACGATCTATTTAATTCTGTTATTCATGATACAAACTCAGATTTGGACCACAAACGCTGGATGAAACTGTACTGATGAGTTATGTAATAATCTGACAACAAAAGAGATGCCAACTACTGTAAACCCGATCTGAGCTGACAAAAAAAAATCAAGTTAAACACAGCATTGATGTGTTAGTCGGAAGACGCATTTTTCCATGCAATAAAAATTGTGTTCCAATACTGCAGCAAGTGCAGAGATAGTAATTTATATTCAGTGACATGAACTGTTAACTATTGGAGAGTTTACTGATAACTCGGTAAAAAAATATTGAGAGAATGGCGAGATAACAATGGGAAAAGTTAAAGGGAAACCCAAGCCAGGGTAAACATACAAACATATAGTTTACCAGCAGCGCAAAAACATTAAGGTTTACCATTATGTAATTTCTTTAAGTAACCTTTAAAATGGCTTCGTTTTCTCGTTCATGTTATTTCTCCCATACTAATTAGTCTTAAACGAATAGACTTACCGTACTGTTTACCATGGTTAGCATGTCCGCACTATGTACATGCTCAATCAATGTGAACTTTTGATGATTTTCTTGAATATCTATCTAAGAATGTATCTATAGTTCTGTACCTGCGCCAGCGTTGATCAAGTCTGGAATGACGTTATACTCGGTGCCGTCACTACACTCTTTGGCTGTTTACAATTTTCACTCCCCCCCCCATAATAAATAATTTTTCCCTGGCAGTTTTCTGAAATTGTGGCTTCTTTACCCTTAAGCAACTGACAGCTTTGTCGGCTTACTGTTTACCACTGTTTGGGCACAAATAGGCTAACATTCTGCCTCCATTTAGTATTGTATATTACAAATATAATTAAGGCGTACACATAAATTATTTATGATGTCTAGGTAATAAAATGTGTATGTGCACGATAACAGTGTTTTTGTTTGTCTAAAAATGGATAGAATGGAATAGAAACATATTACTTGTGAAAAAGGAATAGAATCTAAAGCAACCTAACCAAATCTTAATTATCCTAATTTAACCTAACCTAACCAAACCTAATCTAATCTAACCTACCTAACCTAACATATCCCAGTCTAACATAACCAAACCAATATTGTACTAGGCTTCCTAACAACTCTGAAATCCATTTATTATTATAAATTTTTTGCTAATAATCTGTAAAAAAATATATATATAAATAATTTCTTTAATATAACTCTTAGATAAACTACACGATAAATATATAATATCATATTATTATTATTATTATTACCAACTGAATCTCGAGAATTTTGTCTTTACAATCAATAGTTCAGACAATTCTATTAGACATTTTTCTTCTTTGACGTTTCCCTTGCAAATGACCTATATTATTATTTCTGTTATTATTATTGTTTGCCATTTAATTAAAGTGATACTACGGTAACACCTTTAATCCCATTCAAAGTCATTTAATTCCCGCATTTAAAATCATTCAAGAAACTTTATTTCCATCCGTTTTCTCTGTTGCAATAAAAGAAAATGTAACTTTTACATGGGAGGACTTTTCTTTTTATTATGGTTGTACGATATAGAAATAATTTTACGTTAGTGTACATATTTTATTTTATCCGCTTGGGAGGTCGGTCTCGTCTCTGTTAGGTACTGTTGGCATGTGGGTATGTAGTGGCTCTCTGTTACACATTGTTGGCAACATAGGAAACTGTATACTCCCTTAACCTATGTAAAGTAAGTACTGTACATAGTAAACCTGCACTGTTTATATTGATGCTGAGCTATATAACTACAGTTTATATTCATGACTATCCAACTTTGAACTTGTATGGCAATTTTATTGAATAATAATAATGATAATTAGTAGTATTATGGTTATTTTAATCATGATGCCCTTGGTCATTGCAAACAACGTTCGCTGGTAGCGTGGTGTTGACTTTGGTTACTATACCCTGGGGTGAGTGTTGCGCTGGGTGGTGGTTACCTCCGGTCTGGCTCGTACCAACTTGTTACTAGGTACAGTAGTAGGTGTTCGCAACTCGCAGTTCCAACACAAGGTGGAGGTGTACAGGAAATTTACAAAGGGTACTGTAGTAACCTTGAATCCTTGACACAATTAAGGCATTGTATTTGTGATATGATGGAGAATTGATGGTTATCTTGAAGATCATAGTAAATTAGTGATATAAAAAGGTCAGTTTTTATGCTGTGAAATGTAAAGTAAAGTTGTTTTGTGATGTCCGAGGATAATACACCCTCACTTTTCCCCGTATTTTTTCCTGTTATTATATTTGATAAGAGATTGGAGAATAGGTATAGTGAAGTTAAGTATGGAAATGAATAATGCATTATAGCTTATGTGAGAAAAGTGTTATGTACAAATCCAATTTATAGTGTCAAGGGGGGTCAGACTAATTACCCAAATGTACCCAAATATAGCCGGAATGAAGTCAAATAATGGTCCTAGATGAATAAATCGGACTGCTAATCACTTCTCGACTAGTATTTGGTGTCACAAAGTCACAAAAAATTGGTAAACTTAATTTAATCTGAGTTAATAGATCGAGTGCGTGTACCTAACCTAACCTAACCTAACCTCGACTAGTATTTGGTGTCACGAAGTCACAAAAAGTTGGTAAACTTAATTTAATCTGAGTTAATAGATCAAGTGCATGTACCTAACCTAACCTAATCTAACCTAACCTAACCTAACCTAACCTAACACAACTCAGATTAAATTAAGTTTACCAATTTTTTTTTTACTTTATGACACCAAATAATAATCGAGAAGTGATTCACAGCCCGAATTACGCTTGTACGACCATCATTTGAATTCATTGCGGCTACATTTGGGTACATTTGGGTAATTCCTCGCTACGTCGGTACATGCACGCGATCTATTAACTCAAATTAAAGTAAGTTTTCCAATTTTTTGTGACTTTCTGACACCAAATACTAGTCGAGAAGTGATTAGCAGTCCGATTTATTCATGTAGGACCATTATTTGACTTCATTCCGGCTATATTTGGGTACATTTGGCTACATTTGGGTAATTAGTCTGACCGGTCAAGTGTCATTACGTGTAAGTGTACTCCTAATATAAATTTACTTAACGGGATGTGGGTGTTGCACTACTAGGTAATAGTGTTGCAGACGGTCAGCATCAGAATACTTTTATATTATTCATATATTTCATATTAGATTATAAAGTATTAATAAAATCGGTATAACTTTATATATTCATTATTTTTCCCCTTTTCTCTATCTTCTACCATAAATCACCTGTAGTGAACAGGGCATGACTAATGAGGGAAATTGTGGGGTAAAAAAAAAAAACTCATCATATCACATTTAATCAAGTCTCTATGTTCTCCAACATTACACACTACTTAACTGTGTGCAGTATATTTAGCCATTAATGGTAAGAGTTAAAGAGGTGATTGCCTCTTTATTTCTCAATGTGTTTTGTCATGGTCTTCACCATAATGTTTGATGATTACTATATATATGAAAGTGGTGCACCTACACCTATTGTATATCATTTTGACATCAGTTTTGTATAGGTCATTTATGCAATTGATTATAAGACTGGTTCATTCCTGCTAAAGCTCACTACAGTTTATTCATAGTTTATATCAATTCACTGAAGTGTTGATGGCATGGAGGCTTAGTGAATGGTTAGGCAGGGGGAAGGAGAATGGCATAGGATGGTACTTCATCCTCTTCACTACTTATCTGCCTGTTAGCTGATTGGTAGGAAGAACGTATATGCATAAAATTATTCCAGGGTTGTAAACTACTTGTAAAATACATTTCTAGTGAGAAGATTATGTTTCTAAACGGATTACTAAGGCAATGACCCAAAAATTTTACATGCCATTACCAGATGCTTGCTAACTGTAGGTAAATATCAGAGAGCTGGAGGTACAATGGTAATGTGCATATCTCTCACCACACCCAGTGTGTCAAGGGTCAGACTCCTGCTTGGCCCAGACACATGTGAGAAGGGTGTTATCCAGTGTGACCCTACCAAACATCACAGGTTCCCCAGAGTCCGGTTTCCTCCTATAGCTACTAACACTGGATAGACCAACCACCCAAACAACAAGTAAGCTGATGAGTGGTGAAAATTATAAAAAAAAGCAGAGAAATAATTGACACCCAAGCATTTAGTCAGCCAACCAATGGCAAAGAGAATGCGGTTAGTTAAAAGAAATATCCAGTTGTTACCTTATGATGCAGTAAGTGGGCTGCTGACTATTTGTATGAAAGATATATTGAGTGAAGACAAACTGTCACTGAACTATCGGTTTGCTCGTTTCAGCCGGAGTGATCATCTGGACCTTTAGACAATATTATTCTGTTGCCCGTTTATGTTAAAATCAGACATTATGATTCTGACTGTTTATTTTCTTTGCCTTAGGATTTTGAGTATATGTTAGCAGCTGTCATCAGTGAAACATGGACAAAAAAGAACAAGAAAGAAAATATATTTACATAAAAAAAAGTCAAAGTATCCCTAGTTTAGGTGTGCCTCTTTTTGAAAACAATTAGGCTGCTGTTTTTGATCTGGAAGAAACCTATTTTCTGTTTTATAATTTTTCTGGATTTTAAAGTATGATACTGTACTTAAGGAATGATGAATTAAAAAAAATAAAATTACATATACAGCCCAGAGAACCCTGAGTTCAGACCAACAAGCTCTTATCGCATTTATCATCAGAAGGCACAAAGATTTATTTGCCAGAAATACTGTATATAAAATTTCGAACTTGTTAAATCATTTCTTTGAATACAGTATTAGGCCTGCCTGTGTGACTCACTTGAAGAATTTTTTTTTATCTGTCTTTACTGGCTTAGCTTGTAACCAATTCCTGTTCATTTCTGTTTAAATACTTTCAACTCTTGTTATACTGAGCCATCTTAATCTAATCAGTACAGTACATTTTTTTTACAGGATATGGTTCTCAAGAGACCTCAGTCAGCCTTCAAACCATCTAGATGGAACAGTTGAAATATAAGATAGCTACCACGTGTGTAAACATCTGCCAGAACTAAACAATTTCAGTAAAATGGTTGACAAGAGAAAGGAAACTGCATATTGAAAAGATAAGGAAGAATTGTGTGTATTAGCTGCTGATATTTTTTTTTGTGATACTGTACCTACTACCTAGAAGTAACAAGTAAACAAGTATTAGACGGCAGGATGACCACAGAAGATAAATTTCAAGCGGCTGTGAATATTATTAGAAATTTGCCTAAAGAAGGTAGGTTGTTACCAAGGTTGAACAATAGTGGGAGTATTCCAAATACCATACTTGCCTGTGTTAGGTTATATATATATATATATATATATATATATATATATATATATATATATATATATATATATATATATATATATATATATATATATATATATATATATATATAATATATATATATATATATTTCATAAGCCCATAAACACGCGGACTTTACATATAATCATTAGGGTGTGACCAGGGAACGCTCCCCGGTCACAAAATATGAGGTGTTGATTATATATATATATATATTAGGGTGGTCCAAAATATCACATATTTGTATACGTTTTCTCCACAAGGTTTATTTTTGTCCATTAGGTACAAAATGCATCCCAGAAAAAAATTGGATCATTTAAAGCATATTTAGAGGTCAATCCAATGTCCTCTTTTTTTCCATTTAGTACGTAATAAGGATTTTTCGGGGCTAGATAAACACATTATAAACACATTGTCTTTATTCAGCAAAATACAATTATAAGTTTTACAAATTACAAACTAAATAACTCTAGAACACCAATACACATTCTTTATTTGTATCCCTTCATCATAGCAGCTTTGCTTGCCGTTGGTAACTTCTTGCGATGAGCTGCAACAACCTGTAAAAGGTACTGCTTTTGGTCCTCATTTTGCGTTATAGACTCATTATAACGCTCTATGAGAGCAATTGCCCTCTCTGCGCTGTCATTCACCACCTTCATATTTATCGCACGATCTCTCATTGTGATAAACACTTCATCGTCTTTCCATGTTTTGGGATCCTTACTCAAGAACAGTTGTGCTCTTTCTTTGCCATCTAGTGTAAGAACATCAAAAATATCTAATGTACGCTCAGTAACAAATGAGGCCACATTACTGATAGGAGTTTCATCAGATAGGACAATACGCCTTGAAAAGTCCTGTTTCTTTGGGCACTGGAAGTTTTGTACCATATTCTTCTTGGTTTCAGTATCGATCCTGTCATCAAATAAGCTTAGACCGATAAGATGTTCTGATAGATACCAGAGATGTCGGCTAATTGCTGCTTGTGCTGCGTGTGCAACTTTCTCATGAGGATATTCCTTTAAAACCTTCATTAGCTGCAAATCATTGAATGGAGCTCGAACAGCCATTGGTGCTTCATGCCAGAATCTCACATACATTATGCTCACAAACAAAGCCAGTTGTGTGATATTGTTTTCTTCCCGTGTTGATAATGTGAATTGATGTTTGAACAAATAGATTTTGAGAGCATAGATTCCTTTTGCCATCCATCTTGCATGGTGTGTAGGACCAGGAACTCGAAAGGAATCCTTACTACTTGGCAGTCCACCAAGAAACAAAAGAGCTAGTTCTAGAAACTCCCTATAATCATCTCGTGGCTGATTATCCTGGAACCAGATCAGTGTTGCCAACATCCTTACAAAATCTGTAACTAAGTCTAATTATTTCTCACAGGTAATAATTGCCTGCCATTCATATGCCATGACACAAGATGGAAACCTGCATAATATACTATTTAGATTGATAATGAAATAATTGTAGAACTGATGAGATATAAATGAAATAAGTAACTTCATCTGATTAATGGTAACCCTTGTCTGTGTTTCCTGTTTCAACCTGTCATTGTTAGTCCCTATGACTCAATACTTGACTCTTTGCCCTTTCCAAATAGGCAACTAGGCTATATACATTGAAATATACCCAATATAATGTGTTGTGTATATTAAGACTGTATCATGCGGACAAGAAAATTCAGTCCTACACTACAAGTATAATATGCAAAATGGATTGACCTCTAAATGTTAATGAATATGGATAAAATTTTACAGACCTTATCTATGAACCAAATGGACAATTTTAAGGCTTGTGGAGGCAATATATTACTACTTATATTTTTTACCATATAGTTTTGGACCACCCTAATATATATATATATATATATATATATATATATATATATATATATATATATATATATATATATATATATATATATATATATATATATATATATATATATATATATATATATATATATATATATATATATATATATATATATATATATATATATATATATATTTTTTTTTTTTACTAGGATTAGCACACCCAGCCACAGGTCACTGACCCACATTCCTGGGGGAGGGGCGAAAATGTAATAATAATAATAAAGAACCATAAAGAAATACAAAAATGAATAAAAGATCAAGAGTGAGAAACAATATATGTATGTTGTGTTGTCAAAGTAAGAGAAACAATTGAGACCCTGCAATTGTGTATAAATGAGGAAGAAAGTCAGATCAGCAACCTGGGACTTGGTCACAATTTCGTGATGTCATATGGCAGCAGGGTCTACCATTAGACAACACATTATGCTTCCAATATCTTCCCAGGCAGTAGTACCTCCTTGTTTGGTAGCTCCCTACTACCTACCATACATACATACAGTACATACATACATACATACATACATACATACATACATACATACATACACACACACACACACACAGTAGGGTCGGGATACATCGCGAGATAGGGTCCAACTGTATACTAAATCGCGATATGCAATTTACGTGTAATCAATGGGGAAAATTGGGTTAGGTTCTGGAGGCCCAAAAAAGTGACTAATCTTGACTTAACGAGTTCATTTTCTCACTAACTAAAGCACCAATGAACACTAGACTCGGGAACAACAGGCTATTTCAATATCAATATCAAGGAACACCAGACTCGGCAGCTGACTCATCATCCTGGGAACCCAGACTCGGCAGCAGACGCCACATTGCCATCCTCACTTGACAATCCCACACCTACATAAACGAACACCAAAATTATTAGTTACAGTATTAAATCTTTTCCATTAAGCTTTCCATTACCTTCACTTCACTTTTCACGTCACTAGCAACCCATTTACACTCACCTTAGAAGTTGTAATCTGCAGCAGAGTCCGCTACTTTCTCGTCACTCACTCGGATAGACTGAGTGGGCAGTCACGGTGGCGCCTCTGGTGAGCAAATAACGCATTTGTTTGCCACAGCAGTACATTTGAAATATTTCCTGCCCGATTTGCCTCGCGAAATAAAAAAATTAATCGCTATAAAGGGTATATAGGAAAATTTCGATAATTTTAGTAGCCGCGATATAAAAAAATCGTGATATAAAGTCGCAATATATCCCGACCCTACTGTACTGCATATCACTCTTTCTACAACTTTCAAAACCTGATCTAGCAGCTCTAAGTCCCTGTAGGACTAATTATGAATTAGCTAGCATGAAAGGAATCTTCAAGAGCATCACTTCATCACTTAAAGTACTGTTAGTAAGAAGCTATCAGTAACACATCATCAGAAACAAAAACTTCTGGCTTGGTCATAATAGGGGTTCATGCATTTGAATAATTTGGTCTAGTCAAAATGGATCACTGGTTCTCCGTCACTCCTTATTTGCATAATTTTGCTCACTAATGTACCTAACTAATGTTCATCTGGCATCTCAATCTAGGGAGTCTGTTATAACCTGTGCTGCTTCAAAGAGAAATTTGATTTTGCTGTTGAGTAATCTAGAATGTTTTATTAAACTTGTTTTCTATGATCTGTCCAGGAGTCTGGCCTGAGATACTATATTTAAAAGAAATTCTCTGATATGTGTGGAAATAACATTACTGAAAGTGCTAATTTAATTATGATACTTACTGTAAGAATTATAGAATACAGTACAGTATATGAAAAGATTGATAATAATCATATGCTGTATTATTTAGATACCACTGTATATATATATATAGATATATATATATATATTTTGTTTCTTTCAGGCCCCTATCAGCCATCACATGACATGATGCTCAAGTTTTATGGGCTGTACAAGCAAGCTGTTCTGGGGCCATGCACAGAACCAAAGCCTGCCTTTTATGAGTTGGTGAAGGGATATAAATGGCGGGCATGGTATAGTTTAGGCAATATGACAAAAGAGGAGGCAAAGTTTTGTTATGTGGATGAGCTCAAGAAGGTAAAGCCATTTGTTGTAAGGAAGAAGATGCCATAAAATTCCTTTTAATATTTTCCAGTGCTTAACAGGCATTCTTTGAATGAATTCTGATATGAATTTATTAGTAGAATATCCCTAATGTAAATACAATATAATAATGCAATATATATGGTTGAAGTGAAGTAGGTGTTTCTTAAAGAATTTTAATGAGTTGAACCAATATTTCTTGTGTTTTTTCCTTTATATCTCCAGAGCTTGTTTACATAAATCAGAGTCTTTTGAACTTAACTGAAAACTGCAGTATGGCTTAGGTACCCAAGCCTTATACCCATAATCATGTAGCTAAACTGTACTGTATGGGCAATTAACAGCACTTAACGAAAGCCAATTTCTTTCTACTGTATTTAGCTTTTTCTATCCAGCATACTATGTGCCCTCACCATATCACAGCTTTGACATTTATTCCATTGCTCCTTAATCTCATGTGCAGTAGGCTAACATAGATACAGCACTAACTGTTGTTTGTCTTATCTCATCTGGCTCAACCCTTATCCATAGACTTATCTTATGTGGACTGTTTTATATTTATCAGCAAGCTTTTGAAGATGTTCCTACATTTTTTTCTTTTTCAATTAACTACCATATGCTCTCATTACTGTAGATTTTTAAACTTTTGAAGCTCAGGTAGAGTAGCATGCATGAACCTTACTATGCAGTATATTGAAGCTCACTACAGTACTCAGCTTCTGCAATTTATAATGATATATCCCTAGATCTAATGTATTTCTCATATCCACATTCTTTATTTAGTAATACCTGATATTATCTATTAATAATTTTAAGGAGCATTATACGACCTTCAGACATGTGATAATGGAATATTATCTCAAAGTGAAGAGGAAGACCTAGATAATTGAAGATTTTTTGTCGTTCAACACTTATCCATGACCACAGCCTGCCAAAATCTAGTAAATTAACATATTGTGGTTTAATCAGCTTAAGTTACCCTGGTGACTCAGCCTCATTTGCACAATACATTGATTTGAAATCTTTGAGGCAGTGGGGTGGTTAAGAATTTGCTTTGTACATTGTGTTTGTCAGTTAGTATGAACAGTATATATTGGATGTATAAGCAAGAAGATATAAGTATAAAGCAAATAATACAGAGGAATTGACACTAACCTAAATTAGATTGAGGGCTTAAAAATAATGGCAGCAGTTTCCTCTTTGAATTATTTTTTAAATTGTTTTTCACACTTGTAATCACATTCATACTATAACACTGAGTGACTGGAGTTAGGAGTAACACAGATTCTCCCTTCACTCACCATTTAGTCTGTCATGAGTGCCTTATCACATGTGCCCTTCAGTGTTAATAAATAACTCTTAGAAACAAACACTCAAAAGAATTGCTACCCAACTGACCTTTTATTTTTTAAGCAAGTAAATGGAATAATGTTGATTTTTTTTTGGCTTACGTTTGATACCGTAAAACCCCATTCATACATGTTATATTGAGTAAATGCTCATGTACAGCTGTATGTCTTAGTCCATTTTACTAAATATAGGTGCAAACATTCATACCTAATTCTCCCAGATGGGAGTGTTTGCCTCCCATATCTTGTGAATAGCAGATAATTTGATAGAATGAGATAAGAAAATACTGGGTTACGTTCTCGAAAACGCGATGTTATGCGACACAACTCTAAGCGGATCAATTTTCCTCATAAGAAATAGATAAAATACGGGAGTTACGTTCGCCAGCTTCCCTTTGTCCCATGAAAAAAGTTACATATTCAGAAAATCTTTGCCATTTCTATAGAAAATAGAATATAGAACTACAGTACTAAGTTTGTATTGGTACTCACCAATAGGCGGAGGTGGTAGAGCGAGTGTGTGGTGGGTAGTGGAGCGAAGGAGGAGAATGGCGGGAGAGGAGGAGGGTGGTGAGTCTGCGGCTGCCTCCTCCTCCTCCTGACTCTGACAGGTTGTGATGGTTTGGGTATGTGGAGAGAATGGACGAGACCAATTGGATCAAGAGGTACATGAGCCTCAATGTAGACGGGAGGAGAGCCAGGGGTAGGCCAAGAATGACATGGGGAGAGGTTGTAATAAATAACATTAGGGTTTGAAACCTGACAAGAGATACTGCAAGAGACTGTGCAGCATGGAGAGCTGCCATCAGATAACTATGGCTAATCCACGTAAGCTGTTCACATTGCAATAATGTACTGTGTTGTTGATGTGATTAAAAGTTGAGTTTGACTTTTCAGATTTTTGTTCTTCTTGTTTTCAGTTTGATAAAATGGTCACATGGTTTTTTTATCTTGTACGTGCTATTTTGTATTATTTCATTAATATGCTGTGATAAATGGAAGTGTTATTGGTAGTAGAGTGACCAATGGCCTTGTTTGTGTACTCAGACTACTTGACCTCAGTCCCTTGGTGTTTAATGATTTTTTGTTTCATTTTCAGATTATAGAAACTATGTCATACACAGAAGATGTAGCAAATTTCATAGATGTTCTAGGACCATTTTATGAATTTATTGATGTACCGTTTCCTGGCATGACTCCTAGAAATAATAATACGAAAGGTTTACCAGAAGATGACGAACCCAACAGTCATAATGGTGATATGGAGGGCACCAATAACTTTGTATCAAATGGTGACCTCCATGTACATAAAATAAATGGGAACCAAGAAAGTGACAGCGAATCTGGATCTGACATAGTACAGTTGTCAAGTGAAGAGTCTTCTCCACAGATTTCATCCTCAGCAAGTATTGGACCAGTTGAAGTTACACTGGTGAGTGTTTCACATGTCAAGAGTTACAGGAGAAAATTTTCATTTTAAAGATATATTAATATGGTTGGGGAAAAGTTTTGAAGATAGTTTCCATAGCGCTCTATTCTTAACATTTTTTCTCAGGTCATTCATGCATGTCACCACTTCCTGTATGTCCTTCACCCTTATTATTTCTAGTGCATCCTTCACCCAAACCTTCCTACTCCTTAGACTTCCCTTCTTCTCCCTTTCATCCACCTTTTAATTATACAATCTGTCAATCTTGCATTACCCATTCTTTCCTCATGGCTATACATAAGAAGTGGGGGCAAGTATGGTTGCTGGGGAGGAGAGCTTGTCACTGTAGTCATAATGGAGTGTATAACAATTCTATACACATCTCGAAATAAAACAAAAGGCTTTTCCTTAATGTTACATCATCAACCTGGAACTTCTCACAGCATTGTTCCTTGTTCTCTTTCTTTATACTAAGCTGTATGTGAAGCAGTTTTGCTTGAGGTTCTGTGTTAAGACTGTTTCTAAGATCTGTTTTCAGTGTCTTTACTTGGCTAAACACTCTCCACCTCAGTATCTGACACTGGCAAACATACACTATCAGCAAATTCTGATATAAGTTCTCTGAAACAGTAATTCCTAACACTATCTTGATATTTCAGTGTGTGTGTCCAGTTTGCTACAGTGCCACCTATTGTCTGGTTAGCTGTCAAGCTGAGTTACAACCTTGCTTGCAATGCACTTTGCCAAGTCTGACAGAAGTTTGTGTCACTGTCACACTACTGAATTTTGTGAATCTGGTCTGGTCCTTGGGAGATGTGACATCATAACTGACGTGATGGTAGATCAAAGCAACTTCAGCTGGGCAGATGGAACAAGGGACTGGGGGGGGTGGGTCAGGCAGAGATTACCAACTGGTCACATGGACCTTAACCCTGGCAGTTGGATTAGCAGCCTCCAGGCAGCAACTGAAAGGTCACTGTGGTCACCACAAGTGACCTGACAGTGGTGGATCAAATAAATTTTCAGGTGGTCAAGGGAAATGAGAGGAGTCAGGAAAATTTTTTGATGAACACATAGATGTAAATCTTCACTGCTCTATGTATTCGAAATAAGATAGTCATTGATTTTATTGGCATGACACTGCCCAAATAAAAAAGTAAAAGTTCCCACTAAGACCATTTTTTTCTTACTTAATGCCAAATTTGAGGAAAACACCATATCTGGGAACCCTGGTGTGGGGAGGCAGAGGCAGCATATGATCACAAAGAGAGTGACACATCCAGGTAATTTGGTGGTCAGCACAACAAACACCTTGACCAGATGTGGTTAAGCCTAATGTGACATTTTCTGATCATTCACAGTGTTGGTTAGGAAATGGTATAAGAATCATTGCACAGTTAATCAATGACCACTAAATATTTACTCGCAACTTTCTCAGTTGGAATAAGAAAGAGCCAAAACCTTGCTGCCCAGTTTAAATATTGTATGAGTAAAAAGTTGGCTGTTGTTTAAATTATTTACATTCATTTTTTTAATTTTTTTGAACATAGTTATCATAAATCAAGGCAAATATTTTATGTGCCAGTCATGAATATAATGAAAATAACATTGAAGAACTTATGGGTTCATTGTACTGTGTAGCATGAACATCTGAATGCATCACAACATGGCTGTGACCTGTAGGAAGTCATTATGGCAAAATAGTTAGTCCGACATGCCAGTTACCGGGTAGCTGAAAAATTAAAAGGACAAATCATAATCATTTGGAATATGTTTACTTGACTGGACCCCTGACAATTATTAGGTGCTTTGTGTAATTTAACTCGTGCAGGCTTTTTCCCACTGTGGCACAGGTGGTCAGAATCATAGCAAGACTTTCACCTCTTCTGCAGTCATTCATACATTCAAACTGCAAAATATTTCGTACCAGTAATATATATATATATTTTTTTCTTCAGGCACAGGAACTCAAAGATGTAGATGAGGAGGAAGACAGTGGAAGAGATGATGATGAACTTACAGGTTTTGAAGTCCAAGATGAGGAGAGCATCACACACACTGTATCTGTTGCACCAAGAGTTTATAGCGACTCTGACTCTGATGAGGAATATTCTGAGCCTGCAGAGGTGAGTATAAAATCGGCTTTTCTTTTATGCTGTGGTTTGGTCTTTGTACAATAGTATGAATTGCTTGATGATTTTATAAATAGTTTCTTGAATTAAATTATGCAACATCTAAAATTCTTCCATGAAGGCTATTACTGGATTTAATATTTAATTTCAAATGTACAGTATTAGAAAAGGTCTATTGTATTTACTGATATATTTGAGGCACAGTAAAAATAGACATGATAGAAATTCCAGAAATGCATTAATTGTTGGTATATTGTGTCATTGATTTCATGAATGATGACTAACAGTATACAGTACTGTATTATAAAATATGGTACATTGTTAGCAGAGCTTATAGGGAAACTTTGCAATTATAATATAGTACCTTGTAGACAATCAGTGTTTTCACTAATTTATACACAGGCAAGAGACAGAGTCTGAATGTTGTCAGTTGTCACTGACTCAAATACAGTGGTCCCTCGATTAACAAACGGTTCAATTAACGAAATTTCAGTTAATGAATTAGCTTCCATAAGGATTTTCAGTTCTATTAACGAACAAAACTTTGATTAACAACAGCCTTACGAGAAACACGCTTTGTTGTGCGCATCAGCTGATCGGCTAGTCCGCCAATACAGTACAGGTAATCGATTCTATGTTTACATTTGTTTCCAATGGAATAAATATCAAGAAAGTTGTGCTCTTGAATATTTTTGCATTTTTCATATTAAAATTATTGGTCATTATGAAATTTAGTTAGCATATTGATAATATATACAGTACAGGGAACAGTTTTTGTGTGCCCTTCAGCTGATCGAATCACCCATCAACTCTTCTCAGTTTAATTTTGTTTACAGTGGAGTGAACATTGAGTTTGTTGGTCTCTTGAATATTTTTGCATTTTACATTAAATTTATTGGTCATTCTGAAATTTAGTTAACATATTGATAATATACAGTGCAGAAATATTATGAAACATGAAGAAGGCATTAGAACCAATGCACTCTGTAAAGAATGTGGCATGTCATCGTCGACTGCTTCAACAATCAGCTGTTTGATATGTAAACAAAGCTGCTGGGAATACGACATACATACCTCAAAGTAAGTTAAAATATAGTATTCCTTTGTTTTTTATTTATTATTGTACAGTATACTGTACAGTACAGTACTGTATTTAGTTTATATTTAATGTTTTGTTGATTCTATTACCGGTATTCAGTACTTTGTATGTATACTTTTTCTGTGAGTTGGAACCATTTACCCAATACCCCATTGAAATAATAGATTCAGTTAACAAAATTATCGGTTAACAACCGACTCTGTGGAACCAATTGTGTTCATTAATCGAGGGACCACTGTATATGTACAGTAATGAGTACATATATGTGTCCCATACAGCAAGTCAAGAGATATGCTGTTGCTTACATTTTCAGCAGACTGGTTTAGCTATATATCTCCTTGGCCCTTGAAGTATTTTATTAGTTATATTCATCGATTCAACCCACTTTCTCTCATACTTTACACACTCTTTCTGCTTTAGTACCGGTATATCTTGGTATATCTTGGTTTTAGTTACATTTGTCAGTACTGTACAGGTATCCCTCGTTTAACAGTCATTCACTTAGTGATTTTTGGGTTTGGTGATTTAAATTTTTTTAACCCCTTTCTCATTTAACAATCGTTAGTTTTCGGTTTGGCGATCTTCAACTCACTGGGAAAAATTAAGGAGGGAAGTGGGAAAAACTGGGGAGTCTGTGTTCCAAGTACACATCATTACAATACAGCTTGCCCTGACAATTTGCGGCTTTTTAATTCGCGGTTCTCTCTTATTCGCGGATAACACCCTGGATGTACCCAAGAATGTCTGATGGTAGTTATAAAGTTGACACAGCATTTTCATGGCCGGGACAGGGCGCCATTTGTTCTAGAGACAGTAATTTCCTTTACCAGTACTCTGTATTGTATATGTGTGTGTATAGACACACACACACAAAACACACACAGTAGACCTTCCAAATTCGCGGGGGTTAGGTTCTCAAAATGGCCGCAAATCGTCAAATCCGCAAATAACATTTGCTTGTGTAAAAAGAAATGTATATTCCCTTTGTGTTTGCCCTTAGGACAATTATTTCTTTTACCTGTATTGTATATATACCGGTATGTGTGTGTGTGTGTAGACACACCCAAAATGCATACAAATAAATAATAATGGGAAAATACTCTCACAAATAATCAGAAACAAATTTATTAAAAATGTGACAGTCTACCCTCAAGTCCGTGCTTTATTAATAAAGTAATAAAGCACGGACATGAGGGTAGACTGTCACATTTTTAATAAATTTGTTTCTGATTATTTGTGAGAGCATTTTTCCAATTATTATTTATTTGTATGTGTTTTGTGTGTGTGTGTGTGTGTGTGTCTACACACACATGTACAGACACACACACACACACACACACTCATATTTACAATACAGGTAAAGAAAATTACTGTCTCTAGAACAAATGGCTCCCTGTCCCAGCCACGAAAATGCTGTGTCAACTTTATAACTACCATCAGACATTCTTGGGTACATCCAGGGTGTTATCCGCGAATAATAGAGAACCGCGAAAAAATTTCCCAAATTTGGGGGGCCCCAGTACAAATAAATAATAATGTAATGTTTGAAACAACTTGCAAATGGGTAATAGTACTGTATTAGCAGGTGTTATCATGAAATCAAAATACTGTACAGTATGATATGGGTAATGAGTTAAAATGGTAGTTTTTAAACAAACAAGTGTCCCCTGATATACAAAGGGGTTGTCGTCCTTGAAATCTATTTGTTAAGTGAAAAAATTTATATCAAATGGCAGAACCCTTTATTATTTTGGGTTATGTTCCGGGGGAGCGAAAGCAAATGTATATTGTATAACTGTATATGTATTGTGGGTTGTTTTCCAGGGAGGGAAAATTTTGGTCGAATGGGGTTTTTTTCATTACAAAGTTCACCTCGATATGTCCTCTACTATACCTGCACAAGTGTACCCCAAAAACAACGTGCCATTGACCGCCCATTCGCAAAACCGACAATTACGTATAGGGGAAATACCCCACAAGTTTCATTGAGTACCTTGGAGATCCGACGATTGGCAGAGCTGTTTTGAATTTGGCAGGTGGTGGCATGGTGCAAATTCTTGCCACCAGAGGGCTCTATGCACTGCACTGACTCATTCCCACCATCTTTGCTCTTGTTTACACTTACTATGTGTCTCTGACTTTGTGTTTTTTCATTATTTCTGACTTAGTGTGTTACTCAATCATGCCTAAATGCCCCATTGATAGTTTCTCTTGTGCTGGGCATCTTGATGTGATGTGTGTGATAAGGCATAATAAGAGTGGTGATGGACCAGCAAAAAGTGGTAGAGACTTGAACTTGCCACCCTTGACTGTCTCTACCATCCTCATCACAGGTAAATAACAGTTTCAATTTATGCTTTAACATTGCTTATTTAAGGCTTATTATGCTTGCTTTATATGTCTGCTTTATTTTCTTGCTTGAAAGTGTGCACAACAGAGATATATTAAGGGTAGGTGGGAGTTTTTGGAGGGTGGCCAGTCCATAACTTCTTGAATTTATGTTTTAATGGGATTACGTATGTGCTTCCATAACCATTGATTCATTAACCAAAGAATTTCCCCGGTTCTTATATGCGTCAGTTATTGGGGTACACCTGTACAGATACAGTAAAGTGTAAATGCATTCTGGGGTGGCCACCTTGAATGTGTGAAAGCAAGATGTTCACATTCTTAAATGAAAACAGGGTGTTAAAATGTGATTGTTATTAGTTTAAGAAAAAAATTATTGTTATTCTTTACAGTGAACGTTTACTTTTGTATAACGATTTTTTTTTCTTTAAAACAAATTGTCATTTATTGGGAATATATACGGTATATCGGGAGATACCTGTTATCCATTATTCAGTACATGGTCCAGTAATATTCTGATGAAGACCTTTTACCAACGTCAGATAAAGAACCCAAAATAAAACCTCATGAAACCAAGGTTGTCATACCTTGGTTGAGAACCATTATGACTATTCTTATGTAGAAACGGTATTATTGCACATATTGCTATTTTAATATGTCCGGTAATTACATTCGTGATTGTTCATTTCTTTTCTCCACAAATTTTGATCTAAACCTCATACATTGAATTAAGGTGTTGCATTATCCCACTTGCTATTTGATAAAAAATACAATGTTCAAGCTCTGTGACACTGTACTTTGTAAGCAGTACTTTAGATAATTGCTATTTATCCATGTAGGTGCTCCTTACATAAGTTTTCTTTACAGTATATAACCATCAGAAGCATTTGAATGATGAATAACAAATGCATGTGTTTGTTGGTTTTTAGCTCAGCTGCCTTGCTACATGGCTTGTCTATCTATCAACCACCAAGTGTACAGTTTACACTCTTAATGGCTTGATGTAGCCTCACCAAATTAATCTTAAGTTATCTTTGGGCAAAAACTAAGAACCCTGTAGAATTCGGTGTTATTGGGTTAAGAATTCTTGATTTGGCATATTAAGAATGGCCATTTAGTGGTGTAGCTGAGCACAGATGACCATGGCTTCTATTTGTAATTATTTTCCTTCCTCTTCCTCATCCTGTTACGTACTACTCTGGATTGCTGTAGACCCCAGATCATCTGGCTCAAGTGGAGAGTGTGCTTGCTGAGCAGTCATTCTCTGCAAAGCAGATGCAAAACCTTTCTAACAATCAGGTACTGGATACACTGAATTATTCATGTAGTAAAGGATTTACAACACATCAACTAGAATATGAAAAATTGGGCTCCAAATTAGTTAATCATTGACTTCGTTTATAATGATACAAATGAAGCACATTTTGCCTCTCATTTTAGAGTGTTAACTAGTTAACAAATTCAGTAAATGAACTGCAGTTAGTCAATGCTATTTACCTAAAATACTTTTTTTTTACGGGGATTAGCCCACCCGGGCACAGGTAATGACCCACATCAGGGCCTGGTGGGTGAAAATATAATAATTATAATAATAATATCTATTATTAATATTATTATTACAACAATTAATAAAATTAATAGCAAATTAATACAAATAAAAATAAAATAATAAAAATAATAAAAATATTAACCATAAATAAATACTAAAACGAAAAAATAAATCAAGAGTGAGAAACAATATATGTATGTTGTGTTGTCCAAGTAAGAGAAACAATTGAGACCCTGCAATTGTGTGTAAATGAGGCAGAAAGTCAGATCTCCAACCTGGGACTTGTTCACAATTTTCGTGATGCCATATGGCAGCAGGGTCTACCATTAGACAAAACATTATGCTTTCAATATCTTCCCAGGTGGTAGTACCTCCCTGTATGATAGCTGCTTACTACCTACTACCTGCTGTAAAAAGGACTTTTTTTTTTACTTAAATTGAAGCACTAGTACTGTACGTACAAGTAGTCTGACAAAAATGAACTTAAGTTGAAGTAAAAGTACTATTCCTTAATTGTACAGTACTTAGTGTAAATAGTATCTACCAGTAGCTCAAAGTACTATATACAGTACTACAGTAATAAAAATGGCATATCAAACTGTACATTAAAATTCATAGCTCATCATGTAGGGGGCTCTACCCTCATCAAATAAGTGAGTCTGCCTAATTTTGAGTGATAACAAATATTTATGGCATATATTATCTCATATTTCTACATGTGTGCCAAAATCCCTCCCCCTCATGTCAGCCAATGCTCAAAACTGATGCTAAATATGTTTTAGTAGCCAGAATTCAAAATGCTGTCCTCGGGGTCAAGAAACTTTCTGTAAGTAGAAGGTTTCTGGAAGTTGATGGTTTATTTGAGTACCCCATACTGTAATACATCTATCATTTTACTGTGATTTAATTAAGGTTGTCCATTGATCACCAAGTAAATGTAAACATTGTCATCCACTTAAACGCTTAAAACACTTTTCTCATAATTTTCTATGATAATTTAAGTGAAAATCAAAATCCTGTAATCTTGGAACTTCCAGAAATAGCCCATTACATCATCTCTCGAACCTGGAAAAATATCCCTCATCCTCGGAATTTTCTGGGTAACGGAAAATTGTTTTCGGTATTTCCAGAAAAGGCGCCTGATTTTCATCTCTCAAACCCGGAAAAATCTCCCCCATCCCCGGAATTTTCCGGGTATCGGGAAAATTTTTTCAGAATTTTCCAGAAAATGTGCCCCTTGAAAAATCGTTCCCAAACCCGGAATTTTCCGGAAAATTCCAGCTTTGGGAACGATTTTCCAAAAAATTTCAATTCCGGCTATCGGAGAGTTCCGGGTTTGAGGGATTCCGGCTAAGGGAGATATTACTGTATCTGGGAAAACAGGAAACTGCTTGCTATCACAAAGAATTATCAGTTATAGTGAAAGTGTTGGTGGCAAGGAAATTTTTTTAGGAAAACAGAGCAAGAATGGCAAGCAGCCTGCCACAACCACTTGCTGCACCATATATAGAATGTATGTATGGCCTGTACAATATGTTTATATATAAGGTACAGTACTTATAAATTTATTTTTAGATTTATGTATGTCACTGAATATATGCGTAATTCATACAATACATGTATGATTATATACATTAACAAACATAAAAAGTGTAGAGAGAGAGTGGCTAGGAGCATGACTCTTGGAAAAATGCCCACGTATCAACTTTAAAATTCAATTATATGACAACCATAAGTGCTACAGGATATTTAAGACCACACTCTCTTCCAAACATTACAAGCTATACCCTGTACAATAAACCTCATAGGCACAAAAAAAAATTGTATCTAGATTATTGGTACAATGGTCCCAAAATATTTAATTATACAGTACAGTACGTTTACAAGACCAAACCAGTGGTGCATATGGGATAGTGTGGGCAAACAGGAAATTCATATATGCTTTACCAAACATAAACCGTCGAGAAGCACTGAAAGAACATTTTGTGTACAGCATAAAGTGGTGTGATAACCGTGCCAGGCAAATGCTCTCCACCATTCACCATGACACTATGGTAGAATGTCGAGTGTTACCGCCCACAGGAAACTTTAGTGATGAGGTAACGAAGATATAAGAGAGGGGAGTGAAGCGAGCTATCAGGGTGTTTACCCTGAGCTACCCTGGTATTTGCTGAGTGCATAATTCTGTCAAAAGCAAAGCTGACTAGGTGAAATTGAAATAGCCTAGTGCAATTGTTGAGTACAATGAGAAAATAAAAATTATAGAAATATTTGTCATACTATGTAGTTAGTTGGATTGAGTTTGTGAGGAAAAATTCAAGACACAGTAAGCCCTCGTTTAACATTGCCCCCTATAACGTTGTTTTGTTATAACGTTGCTATTCTTTAGAGCCAATGTGTCGGATAACTTCCCATCGATTCAGTATAACATCATCACGGACTACTTTGTACGGTGCATCACCCTCTCTCATCTTGGCGCACTACGCTCTCGTCAGCAGAGCGTCACAGCGTCGCCTGTCTTTGTTAAGCTACCACAGCGTAAGTGCGTGCTTAAGTGTTTTTGCTCTTAATACTGTACTCTAACCATTCGAAATGGCTTCCAAGCACCCATCAAGTGCTAGTAATGCTAGTGTTGTGAAGAAGCAATGTAAGACCATTAGCCTTGCTACGAAAATGGAGGTTTTAAACCAGGAGGAGGAGCCACCCATTGGGTCTCAGTAACTCGCCACCCTCCTCCTCCTCTCCCACCCTCCTTCTCCGCTCCACTACCCACACACACTCGCTCCACCACCTCTGACCATCAGTGAGTACAATACAAAACGATTTGGGTTTTTTTTATATATTCTATTTTCTATAAAAATGCCATTGAATTTGTGTACATGTAATGTATTTTATGATGCAAAGGGAGGCTGGGGAACGTAACTCCCATATTTGATGTATTTCTTGTGGAGAAAATTTATTCCGTTAACGTTGTTTCCGTTAACGTCGCAGTTTTCAGGAACGGAATCATGGCATTAAGCGAGTATTTACTATAGTACAACAAGTTATCTTCCCACCCATATGCTTCACATGTCAGTGCCAAATGCATACAAGTTGTGCCGTATGAAGACGCTCAAGAACTAGCCATTGCATGACTTTATTAAGACAATCATACACCAGCTGATTGCCAGATACTACACCTGCAGTGCTTCAACCAGCTGTCATGTAAGCCAGTATGAACACGATTGGCACACATTTTTCTGATCAATAACGCAAGAATATTTAGAAGTGTCATGAGTGCGCTCAGACTACCTGAAGGTAAAGAAAATCCCCCACCCCCCATAAAAAAAAAGAACACAGTTTGTGCACAAACTATAATGTTCTTCTCTGCATACACGCATGGTTCCAGGTGTACCACATGCAGAGAGATTACCGAACATGTGAAGGTGAAGAAACATGTAAATATTGTAAACATATGTAACAGAAGTAGTAAATAGTGTGCAGAGATTAGCCATTTCAATGCTCCACGATAGTAGATAATAGAAATTTATATCACGAGTGATCAGTAAAATGTGTATCCTGTATGATGTGATGCAAGAAATGAAACATCATAGATGTGGCAGCAACTCAAGCACCAAGTGCATCTGGCTGTGCCTCACCACCCACATAATTAAGGTTTTTATGGGTGTTATATATTTTTTCTTATACAGTAGTTCTCACACTATAGAATGGTAAGATTGAAGAGTTATTATTTTTATTTTTTATTTTTTTGAAAAGTGCTACAGAGGGAGATATACCGGTAACTCATTTTTTTGGTCTCCCCCAGTGAAAGGGTTAAAGAAGTCCTGTTTCTTCTAAACCTAGCCCAGTTCAGCTGTTATCAAACCTATCACTCTTAACACATTTAGCCTTGCATGGTCACTAGAACCTTAACTTGCCTAGCCTTAATACTTACTGTACTACCTTACCAAATAGAATTTTCAAGAGAACCCATACTGTACACTGTTCCATGGGCCAGACAAGGAAGTGCTGCAGTACATTTAATATAGGTTTAATTTTTCTCCTTTTTTTTTCATTCTTTTAAGGAGATAAATTGCCTTGAAGGGAGAAGACCCCTTCCCCACTATTGGCAAGTTAAACATAACACTGTGCATGTATACCATTACAGTGCAGTATATATAAAAAGCAGATGTGTTGTAAATTTCATATTTATGAATTTTCATTATGGCTCTCTAATGCTGCAATTTAATTTCTGCCTTGTTTAGACATTGTGTTTGTTTTTCAAAGCAGAGTAGTTTGAAGAAATTTGGTGCTGAACTTTTGATTACAGTCATTGCTGCTTATTTTTTGTTTGTACTGTATATGGAACAGAGCAAATAACTGTAGTGTTGTGTTATTTTCCTGGTCTGTGAACTACCGTACTCCCATTTTCTATGACCAGGGAAGATTCAGTGAGATTGACATTCCCAGGAAGAATGGGTGGAGGGGGGGGGGGGATGAGTTATCCTCTTCCGTTCTTTCTTACTACATGTACCAAGAAGGATCTCTTAGCTTGCAGAATCTTTCTTCCAACTCAAAGAGTCTTTTACCTCAACTAAATTTATTAATCTATTGAAAAGTGAAAAATACACACTAGCCTCTTAACATATTGTACAGTAGTGTCAAAAAGATACATTTACTTACATTTCCTAATTACAGTACTGTACTGTATTTGGGTGAAGTCTAACTATGTAACAGCAGTATATATTAATCATAACTTTAAGCCCCAAATTAGGAAATAATGTACGTGAATTCTGACTGAACATACTGTACAGGTATATGATTTTTCGTTGTATACATGGACATTGCAAATTGCTGGTAAAGTTTCATCAGGTGGTTCAGAACAATTGCTATGATTTCATTTTATGTATGTGCACCTCCAATGGAATGTAAAATCCAAGCTTTCTTAGAGGTCAGTTCTATGAACTTAAACATACAGTAGTATATAGAAATGTTTCTTTTTGATGGAATGAGTTAGATACTGTACACCATAATGCAGTGGTTTAAGTCCCCATTATGAAAGTTAACATTGTGTTTATATTGCAGATAAACACAGCACCACTCCCAATCACACCTGCAACACCCCCCACCACAGACACATCAGCTGCACCTCCACCTGTGCTACATCATGAAGAACCCCAGACAGATGCTGTGATGTGTGGAGGGGGTGACCAGAGCCACCCTGGGGGACTTCAAATGACACCAAGACAAATCCAGTACAGTAAGAAAATGAGTGGCTTTTATGACTTACAGGTTAATTGATGAGAGTTTTGCAGGTTTCCTACAGAAGGCATGGTTTTCTTTTGGCAGATTGCACTGTCAGATCATCAGATCATATTCTTTTTTGCATAATAGCTGCTGGCCTTTTGAAGAGAAATCCAACCCTGGTGTGTTTAGCTTCCAAAGCTAATAAGTCACCAAATACACTGGGTATTTAACCCTGAAGTTAATTCGTTCATCTCGGACACCAGCGGCTATAAATAGAGAGACTACACTTTAATCCTTACATATTGCCTAGTGATAAAGATTTATTTCTTTTGTTCCTTTCCTGATGAAATTGATTTCCACACTTGGAAATTAGATGGTAAAACTTATCATTCTTTTTATCTGGTGGAGGTAGTTCAAGATATATATAGTTGACACAGTGCTTTATTCAACAATCTTCTCATTAATCTCTGTGTTGACCCTATAGGGTCTGTCTCTACTATCTTGGTACACATGACCTAAGGAAAGTTACAGTACTCCATACTTAGCCATATATCAAGGTGTTTCTCAGAGCGCCATCCTTCGAAAGGGTGCTTGGACTTCATTGAAAGTTTTCATCTCCTGTACCTTTGGATTGCAGGGCACTTGGGTGCTTGTAAGATCAGTTATTCTTTTAATTTGTCTCTTGGTTCAATGTGCAAGTTGTTCAAATTCCTGGAGCATACTGCTTCCATCCTTCTTTCTGTATTAGCAAATTTTAACTACAGTGCTTGAGTTGCTTAATCCATTGTGGAGATGAATTGGAAATGACAAGAAATTTATTTCGAAAAATTGGTTACCTGGGTTGTGGAGGCCATGTGTCTAGCCAGGCCTCTTACCTTTTACCAAACTAGTAACTGACATTTTCAAATACTCCCTCTTTTTATGGGCTACATTTGTGTTAGGAAAGATGAATTTCAGATGGTTAACTAACAATTTTGAAAGATGTCCTGGAATGCATGTAAGGTGTTTTTATTGTCATGATAAAAGTAAGCAAAAGATCTGTTTCTCTGTTTTTATTTGTTGTGTTTATTTTTTGTACGTTCTTTTAATATACCGATATATCAATATTTTGTTACAGTATTTGACTCCTAGTATGTGCTACTGTATCAGTTTAATGTCTACATTTATGTATATTTTAGGTTCAAGAGGAACTCAGCGAGGATTACAAGTATCTTCAGTCCTCACTGGAGGTTTTGCTCAAATTGGTGGAGGGAGTGGAGGTGCAGGTGGTGGTGGAGGAAATTGGGATGGAACAAATTTAACTGAAGATGTGAATGCCCAACTAATGGTTGTTTTGAGGCGTCTACAGACAGACATGGAAAGTGTTCTCCACCGCTTAAACACCCTAGAAACCCTCACAGTCACCCAACACCATAATGTTTGCCATCACTGTCAGGTGGGTTGGTAGGTGTGGCCAGTAATCTAATACAAGTATCAGTAATTACTTTATCATTATTCTTCACCTTGAACACCTTCACCTGATATGTGTCTTGTGGGAGAATGAATTAAGGTTGTGTGCGCAGTAGATGAATTGGGTTTAAAGTGTTTTCCGGAGTGAATGAAGATCTAGCTGATAAATCTTTTAATGATCAAAGTAAATCTTTATAAAGAATTTAAATATTAGTTAAATCACAAGTATTAATTATTGATCAAATATTTTTCAGACTAACTGAAGATGATTTCCTTTTCCTGTGAGGTTTGATGCACCTATTCTACCAGCCAGTTGACATTGAGTATAGTTTAAAGATAAATATAATTTTAGGGGTATTAGGTAATTGCAAATCATAAAAAAACCTTTCAGTACAGTACGTTATTGAAGTACAGTACAGTAAAGCCTTGAGTTATGATGGTAATGTCTCCTCCAATATTGCAGTGTAAGGTGAATCATTGTATCGTTAATCATTAATGACCATTAAAATAAAGCAATAATAATAATGAGATGCATTCCCAGTGTGACCTTTTCACATCTTTTGTGTGGCTTTTAACCCCCTTTCTCTCTAACAATAAAATTTATGGAAAATAAAAATCAATATTCTTTAAATAATGTTTATTAATGCTACCTTATACAATATAAATCACTAATAATACGTAGTCACAAGAGGAGACGGGACGCCATTGTTGTTATCAGTGTTTACACCCATGATGATGGTTCTCCATCTGAAATGGGAGAAAATAAGACCCTGGTTGTAGCTGTAGTAAAACTAATGTAAAAAAAAATATATATATATATATATATGTTTTAATTAATGTTATTTAATATACAGTAGAAATAGCCACTGATGGTAAAGAAAAAGTGTGAGACTGATAGCGGAAGGCCAATGTATGTACGTACACGTGAAAGCATAGCGTCATTTCTCTACATAAGAATATGAAACCAACACTTAATACTGTTCATATATGTTTTAATTAATTCTTCTGAATGTAAAACGAAAATTATGCTCACCAATGGTGGTAAAGCCCAAAACATAAGGACTTAGCCAATGTTGTTGTCTGAGTTTTTACTCAGATGACGGTCAAGTTCCTAAATTCGGGTAATGAAGTGACTCTCAAACCCGAAAAAATTCCACTTCCCAAAAATTTTTCCACGTGCCTGTATTGGTAAAAGTTTCCAAGAGTCTAAACTGTGCTTCTTGCACAGACAGACACTATCCCACATCTCTGGAATGTTTCTTGGTACTGGGGAAAGTTTTCCGCGAGTCTATGAGAGTCTAAACTATGCATCTCATCATCTCATCTCGCACGGACAAACAATCTCACATTGCATTTAGACCGCAGGCACAAGCGAAAATATTTATGGCGAGTGAAAAGGTGTATAAACTTTAATTTACAGTAAAACTGTTCCAACATAAGCTCTTTAAACAAAATATTTCTACACAATATAATGGGAACTCAATTCTTTTATGAAAAACATAAGAAATATTGATACCAGAGCCTATAAAATTTGTTCTTTGAAGTTAGAAACACCAATTTTCCCCCCAAATAATCCTGAATAATATACAGCTCCTCCCTGACTTACGACGGGGTTAGGGACCCAAATCCAGGTCATAAGTCGAAATGGTCGTAAGTCGGAAATGCTTAAATAGTACATAGAAAATCTAAAATGGGTGTCTCTTTTTCTTCTCAGCACCACAAAACTCTCAATTTTAAGCTTGCCAGCCATTTTAAAGTGAATTACAAGTGAAAATTTTGTCTATGTACTGATTTTGGGACTCGAAAATGATTAATTTGACCAAATTTTGGTACGACTGAGGCAGGTCGCAAGTGCGGGTGGTCGTAAGTCGAGTAGGTATTAAGTCGGGGAGGAGGTTTATCTAAAAGTTTGGTTTAATCTGCAGATGCTTTTCTTATGTGGTGAACTGAGAATCACCTTTTGTCTATCTATTCTGCTCATGCCTCTCCCATTGCTGTATGTGAGGTGAATCAGGAGAAACATAAATCTTAAAAGAGAAGAAAAGGTAGAGGAAAGTAATGCAAGTGAAAAACGTGACTGGAAGAGAATGAAATTGTAGTAGAAATATTCAACACACATCACATTGCATAAATTCCATCTAATAAAGTGCATGAAATGTGAAAGTATGTACTACTCATATTTTCCCAGGGTGGCAGCAGCAGTGTCTCGGGTGGTAGTGGACGTCCAGAGCCATCCTGGTGGCCATTCCCAGAGCTATCGCCGCGCTCCACTTTCTTCCTGCTAGCCTGGCCACTTATGCTTCATGGGGGTATCAAACTGCTTCTACTTCTGCGGTCTCGGCGGCGACGTACCTAGGAAAGTCTTGTTGGGTTGCAATATGAGAGTTATGCTTCATTTATCAAGATGGAAGAAAACTTAATAGAATTTGGGATATCTTTTTAACACTAATAATAGTTTTACATTTTTTTAATGTAGGTTAAAGAACTATATGTAAAATACGAATCCAAAGTTTTAGTGATAGAAAGCACAATTATTTCTACTTAGCATTTTGTGGGACACAACATATGATATCCTTGGTTGTTTTAGGACATACGCTATTATTGATATCTTTATTTTATCTACTTTACATTTAATTTAAATTATGATTTCTGCCACTTACTATTACTTCAGCCCTGGCAGTCTTTTGTGCTAACACATGCTTGTCTATATACTCTCTTATATTTTGTTTGCCAAGTTATGAAAAACTAAATGTATTTAAGTGTACAGTATTCATAATGTACTGTCACTAAAACAACTCTCCATTCTGTCATCTTCCACATGGCATGAAGCATTTTAACTAGTGTTATCAATGCTGAAGTAAGTTGGCCCAGCTGTATATTAAATTTTAATTTAGTTATTCAATAACAATATTTGGGAAATTCTATCGAGTTTCTTCAAAGGAATAATAGTCATTGAATCTAGTGAGAGCACTCTGTATACAGATAACTCAATCCATTTTATATTTTATGGAAAAATAATTCATATGTATGTAAGTGAGGTTAATGTACTAAAAAAATAAATAAATAAGAGGGTAATTCTATTATGGTTGAGGATAAAGCAGTATTTACTGTATATTTGCTACATTTGTTATATATGTTAAAGGTCTAGTAGGTCATGTCTATCTGTTGTCATCTTTTCCACCACATTTGTGTGGTGTGGATCAAGAGACACAGGAACTTTAAGATGAAGAATATTGTACAGGAGATTAAATTAAGCGATGTGGGATTTCTGTTATAAACTCAAGTTTATTTCAGTGAGGGCGATTGATTTTAGTGCAAGTAGTCTTTGAGAGGTGAGCAAGGACAAGTAGACAATATACTGTAGTTACTTTCTCAGCAGGAGTTTAAATTTCCTGCATGACATTACATTTTGGGACATTATATTCCCCTGGTACAAAGCAAATTTGAAATTACATAGTAGTGTTTGCAGTTAGTTTATCATTGCAAAGCTCAGTTTTATTTTGTTTTCTCTAAGCTATAACTAAACCCTTCCTCAGCACCACTAATTCACTAAATAGTTGACTGCATCAGACACTAAGAATTCTCTACTATAATGGTCTTTCTGTCAATATGTTATTTTCCGTGATTAGATAGCTGTTTTACCCCATACATTTGTACAGAAACAAATTTGTTCTTTTCTCATTTTTGAGGACAATGAAATGGTGAATGTTGTACTACTTCATTTACTATTAAACCATTAGTCAGATTATAAATTAAGTTTTTTAGGATTGCTGTTGGGCTTTTTATATTTAGTTACAGGTAGCTACTCTAGATTTGTGTGGTGTGGATCAAGAGACACATGAACGTTAAGATGAAGAATATTGTATAGGAGATTAAATTAAGCGATGTGGGATTTCTGTTATTGTAAATTAGTACTATATATTGTAGGAACTGGAAATGGCAGCTAAAAACTTAGGGTAAAAGGAAAAGAAAACCCTGAAGGGCAATGTATTGGTCCCTTGCCTTGTAGGGAGTTACACTCCTAGAAAAAGGCTTACAATGTGATACTGCAAAATGAGATAAGTTTTGCAAGGTAAAATGGGGGGTTTAGGTTCTGGACTCCCCTTCCAGACCATATACAGGTAAATGCACTCCTGACCTACTTCCCTGGACAAAATATTTGCATCAGTACACTATGACAGACAAATGTATGTAAATCACTTTGTATGTGTTCATTCACTACTGCCTTGCTTTACACCACAACATTGCCACCCCATCACACAACACGACAACACCGAGAGTTATTATAAGTACTGTACTGTAGTTGCATCCAAATGAAGTATCAGACTACTTACTCTCTAGTCAGTGAATTATACCTAACTTGGATTCCAGCATAAACACAATCTTGCTTTTGTTGCCTGGAGCAACATACTGTGTGACACTAAAGTTTGGTGCATTCCCTGTAGGTGGGCAGGTGTTCATGCTCAAAGTAAGGTGCACACTCAGCTGGTGGTGACCTGTGAGGAAAGCAATTTAATGTGGGGGGTGAAGGCATGAAAGGTTGAAGTGTTTGGGTGTAGGGAGTGAAGTGAGCGAGTGGGTGTAGTGGTTTGGGGGAGGGAGTGAACTGTGTGAGGGGGTGGTTTTAGTTCATTAGGGGAGTGAGTAAATTGTCTGGGTGAGAGTGTTTAGTTGGTAAGGGAATGGGAGTGAACTGTGTAGCCACACAGTTCACTTGATGGCCTGTGATCACCACCTACTGATCTAAGGTTACTTCTTAGGCTAAAATTATGTGCTCGATAATTGAATTCTCTGGTACACATCGACTACTCTTCCTCCAACATTGTACCATACTGCCATAATACTTGGCTTGGTTTGAGCCAAAGCACAAACTTTGACCATTCATTCTGTGCAATTATAAATTTTTGGAGTAGGACCTACAGTTACAATACTGTATAAATATATAAAACAGTAGAAATAAAATTAGAGGCAGGCATGATGCCTGGGGATAAAATATAAGTTAGATTACATAACATCATAATATATCAGGTTAGTTGGGTTAAGTTAGATTGGCTTGGATAAAGACTAGGTTGGGCAGGTTTTAATAGGTCATATTAAGTTAGGTTGGGCTAGGCTGTATTAAAATGTGGACATTCGTAGACTTGAGATAGGAGTACTGAGAACAAGGTAGAAAGATGGTTTACAAATATGCCATCATAAATAATTGATTGGTTGTTTGTGAGGATACCTATAGATGGTTTAAACAGGTAGTTATGAATTGTTTAAAATATTTGCTAGTCACACTGGGAACTAGCAAACCATGGTATTTTAATGGCATTTGGAGCTATTTTTTTCACTTGCAACCCTTTCCTTGCTATGATGCAGAATGGCTGTAATCAAAAGTAACACATCTGTTTCTTCATATGATGTCATTTGTTTTCTCTTGACTGCCATAATGGATGTTGTGCTTTCCTATTTGAAGGGTCTTTTGAAAGGGGTGGCGGTGAAACCCAATATTTCGTCTGAGTGTATTGGCTTTAAACGTACCAACTCCTCACAAGCTCCTCTCCAAGACGGAGTTTGGGAGACACTGACTGAGTGACCGCTGACTCGCGGACGCTGCCACGGTCTGTCTCCCAACATATCTAATTATCCCACACTATTGTGTTCCTTTTCATTTACTCATGATGTCAAATGACAGGGTTGACATTTGAGGCACAATTGAAAATATCTATAATTTTTACTTCGCATAATACATTATTGTGATAAAAATGCTTTTAGAGACCTTGCCACAAAGCCCCATTGGGGTTAAAATAGTCAATTGAGAATGACTGATGTTGCTGCACAACCATTCAAAGACAATTTAGTAGTGAAAATGCACATTGTATGCCTCGGTTTGCAGTCGGGCTAACTCGAAAGCATTTACACCTTCTCGTGTGGTGCTCCTTCAAGCGTTACGATGCAGAGTAATCGATTCCCAGGTGAGGGGGTCGTTTAGGCACTTTTTCAGGTTTGTCTTAAGACTATCCTTATACCTATTCAATTGCCTGCCAGCGTTACGTTTGCTATTTATTAGGTGACTGTAAAGTAGCTGCTTTGGCAGTCTACTGTCGTCCATGTGGGTAACATGTCCAGTCCAACATAGTTGTTCATAGCCTCGATGCTCCTACAGTTGGTGTCAGCAAGAATACTGGCATTTGTTCTCTTGTCTTCCCAGCGAACTCGGAAGATGGAACGTGCATTTGTGCCAGTATCCAGAAGGGTCCTGACATTCCATGCAGCGACCATAAGAGGTTGTATAGTTTGTTTTTGTTTGGATCTGTGACTTTGGTTGTTTTTTTGACCGCATAAGGATGTGGGTGCAGTTGATGACCAGTCAGGTTGGATTTTTTGGCAGGCTTTGTTTAGGGCACCTTTTCTAACCCCCTCATCATGTGGGGTGAACAGAGTGGCTCCCCGAAAGGGCTGCTCAGTCACACAGACAGGACCGTATTGCACTGCTGACTAGATCCAGTGTATAAACGACCATCTTGTCTCTGCCGCCCATGTGTAGAGTTGTGACATGAGACTCCCGGCAGTCATCTCTGCCTGTCCCTGTTGCCACACGACCGTCACCATAGGACTTTTGGGGGTATAGGGGTTTTGATATGATGAGAGGTATGATGAACTGGATGATGGCTGCACATGAGTTGATTTATGTGGTGAGGCCGGAGCGCAGGCTGGAACCACACATCTTGACTCTCCCTTTTCCTGAACCAGTGGTGCAAGTGTTGCAACGACTGGGGAGAGGGAGAGTCGCATTGGACTGCTGATAGACCAGTTTGTTGGGTTTCGCCTTTGTAGCCTGTCCATCAGACATTGCCTTTATCCGCTGGTGTAGTCGTTGGGTTTCCATGGTGGTCACCTCTTTCGCCTACACTGTCGTTGGGGTCTTTTTGGAGCTCTGTAAGCATGTCTGCCTGATGCCGGGCTCCACTGCAGATTTTTTGATCGGGGTTTACTCCCGTAGCCTTAAACCTGCCAAGGTTAATCCACAAGGCAGCGGGGTGGTGGTTGGTAGGCGCCTAGACGTGTAAACATGCCAGTTGGCCTATGTGCCGTTCCTGTGGGGCCCACTGCTACTCCGAGATTCCCTGCTGCCCCAGCTGATCTAGCCTGGGCCCACAAGGCACCCAGTTACCGTGTATTGCTACAAGAAGGCACAGCAGGAGTCTTGATGGTGAGGAGGCTGTGTATTACTTTTTATTTGCTATTTTTCCTACAAAATTAGGATCATATTACTGTACATGCCTGATAGATCTTATATTGTTAACAGTCTAGTGACAGTGTAAAAACATAAACCCAGTGACACTGTAAAGACATATGTGCCAAAACTTGAGCAGTCTGTGAACATACTGAAGTATATACTGTAGTATATGAAATTTTCTTATTTTTAGTTTGGTAATATTGAAAGTGACTTGGCAGTAATTTTCAGAAAATGGGAGGGCATGAGGTCTGTTCTCCAAGTCTCCTGTGAGATGTATTAAATATCATTATATCAACACTGCTCCAGAAAATGTAGGGAGAGGAACCATCCTTTTATGACAGTATCTAAATATTGTGTGTAGACAAGCTAATCACTCATGATATATATATGGTAAATCATAAATGGCACATTTTTAATGGTCTTTCTAGGGATGGACAGAACCGTAGATAGAGTTTGGGTGGCCAATCAAAACACAGGCGCTATGTTGTTACTCAGTGGGTGAGAAGTCTTCTCGGGCTGTCTCCCACATTATTACCAAATTGACAAATACAGTATTATATATACTGTATACTATACACAGAGGTAAATCAATGTTAATCAATATCCATGCACCATTTATTTATACTGTATTTCTTTACAGCAAGTCGCTTTACCGAACTCTTGCTTCCCAGTTCACTTCTTGACTTCCCTTGTTGCACATCATGTTTATGAATGTTTTGCTGATTCCATGCAGAAATATATAATCTCACTTTGAAAAACCTGCAAAGAGACAGTTTCCTAATTTCATGACAGAAGGGTAGATCCATGGGTTTTTTTGCACATCTTTGCTGCAATTATTAGCCTCCAATAAGTTTCTCTCACTTCTTAACTTGCCCTGAACCTCTCTTAAGAGTTTCTCAACTTTGAGGAATACCTTCATGCAACTTTTTTCACACTAAAAGTACAGTCCCTCTAAAATGTACAGTATCATTAGCCATGAGGTTGATGTGATTCGAGGCTTTCTGAGCATTGTTACTCAAGCTGTTTCTGAACAATTGGTACTTCTACAATTGCAACCTTTGAGCATAAATGAGTACGTATATGCTTCTGAACAATATGAATCCTCCGAGGCTTCAGATCATGTTGTACCTGACTCGAGTGGACGTTGTAA